GCCAACAGAGCTCTATGTTGTTGTTGTTGTTAGGTGCTGTTGGGTCGTAGACAACTCATAGCAATCCTATGAGAAAGACCTGAACAGTCCCTTTGAGAGAGATATATACTGAAATTTTCCTCTTTTTACAAAGGAAAAAACTGAGGCATGCAGATGGTAAGTGCTTTGCACAAGTGCCCAGATGAGAAATCTCTCCCCAGCAGCCTCTCCTGAAGTTTGCCTCTTGACTGACTGAGTAGGACAACAACCAGCTAGATGCTGAATGACAAGGCAAGATATGGTCTGTTACTTCTGCCATGCCCATCAGTGACGTCGCTGAAACTGTGGGCTTTACCTGTGGGGTTTGCTCAGAGGCTCAGCTGTAGAATGGTCGAGTAGTAATCCTGTCAGGTAAATGGAGAAGACAGGGCGTGCCTGAACCTGTTGCAGGTGACAGATTATTAATTGAAGCGGACCAGGTAATGTTGGTCGTAATTGTGCTGTTTCCTCCTGCTTCATAATATGGATAAGAGCACTCAAGTGTGAAGTGTTGCCTTTGGAGTTTAGAGTTATCAGCTTGGTAACATCATCCTACAGTCATTTCTACTTTCCCTTCTACCTTGCGACGGTGTGCTGTTTCTCTCTCCCTTTCATCTTCCTCCTACTTTACCTTGTTTGAGCTACTTAATCAGTTTCTTCCATACTTTTTATCAAATGCCTTCTTTGTGGCAGACACTGTTCTTGCTAATTGAAATTCAGTGGTGAGCAAGACAGAAAGGACCTGGGCTTATGGAGCTTATGTTTTGGTGGAGGAAGACAGAATCTGAGAAAATACACAAGATAATTTCAGATAGTGGTAAGTGCTATTTGCAACAGCAGAGTAATCATGAGCGAGGCACTAATTTGGATGGGATAATTAGAGCCAGCCCCTCTCAGGAAGTGACACCTGAACTGAAGATGAAGGATCCAGTCCTCCAGGATCATTTAATCATATTCATAATCTTTAAATTAGCACTTCTATTTCAATGTTTAACTCACTATCATGTGCTGTAAATTATGCTGTGGCCAGGTTTGCCAGCATGTCCTGCTTAATGGACAAGAAATTTACTTTTCTGAAGCTGTGAGGTGTATGTTACTGTGTATGTTACTGTTAAAATAAAAAGGAAATACTTTTTTTTTTAATTTCCATAAAAGTATTTTCTTTCCATAACCCTTCTCAGCTTTTAAAATAAAATTTTCTATGCTGTGTTGTTGTTTGTTGTTAAGTGCCGTCGAGTCACAGGAGACTCTTAGCGACCCTATGAAGGATCGCTCAGTGCTTGGGTGTCTCTCATCCTGGATGCCACTCCTGCTTCCAAGCTTGTTTTAATTGGGGAGCTCCACCCCACTCTCTTTCTGCATTGGGTAACCAGCCATTAACGTATTTGGCACATCAGTGTCACAGTGTTCAGCCTCACAGCAACCACAAGTGACCGCTGTATGGCAACTTGTACACCAGGGCTATACGACCTAGAGGAATGTCTGAACAAAAACAATGAAAGACAGGCCTGAGGGCCGCAGATTAAAAGTCACCCGCCTTCGGCGTGGTAGCATTGCCTTCTGTCCACTTGGCCAGCTGATCTCTCTCTATGTTGATGTTATTGTTGTTAAGTGCCATTGAGTCTTAGCGACCCTATGAAGGAGAGTCCTCAACGCTTGGGTGTCTAAATAATGTAAATTCTCTGTCCCTGTCATACTGGATAGGAGCCCTAGTGGCGCAGTGGTTAAACACTTGGTTCCTACGTGAGAGATTGCTGATTCTAACCGACTAGTCACTGAGCAAGAGAGAGATTTGGGAGTCTGTCTTCGTGACATTTATGACCTTGAAACCACGTAGGGCATTTTCACTGGTTTATGTGCATTGGTATTAATTTGACAGCAGGTGATGTTGGATATATGGATTGTATTAAAAATATTTTTAAGTGTTTTAACAAAAAATGGGACCATTTGAATTTCTTTGAAATCTTAATTGCTGCATCTTTTGGCTGTTAAGATTACTTTAATGTGGGTTAAATTATAGACTGAAAAATGAGGTATTGTTAAGCAGTACATTATTTGGGTTTTTGTTTGCTTTATGACTATATGCTGCAGACCGAGGGTAAAGTATTTTTAATAATTATTAATAATGAGACAGAAGAATGAGATAGAACAGAGAGCACAAAGACAGGGGGCCAGCAGTTCTGCCTGAAGGGCCCCATTCCAGCTTCCCTGTATCTTTATTAAAAATTATCAGGAAGTGAATCACAAAGAGAATTCAATGCAGATGAAGCCAAGCTCTTTCTATTGAAAACCTTCTGCTTGACTCAGGAGGGAGGGGTCAGCAAATACCATGCAAGAATCTGGTAAACCCTTAAAGATGATTGCCTCCGTTTCTCGGGGTGAATTCTAGCTTGAACTGTGCCTTCCCCACATCCTGAAATAGCATTCAGTTTATTACAAATATTTAGTATTGGCTTCCTATAACTACATGCTTGCAAAATAATCCTATATGTACTCTGAGGAACCATTTCTTTGAAATAAAAATCTATAAATTAAACATAGAAATTATTATAATTGAATGCTAGAAGTTTTATTAGTGATGACTACCATTTGATGAAAAGCAGCAGTTTATCTTTTCCCCCATCATTTAATGATACTTTTGAATATTTTTTTTCTTAATTTCTAGTTGAGCTATAATCTGTCTGAGACATTTGAGTGTACTGAATTTTTTAAAGCCTTGAGGCCTGGGATGATGTCATAGTCTTATTTCATTTTTTCATATCCTGCAACATGAATTGAATTTCCTGTCACCTCTTTTTTTTTAATAAGGTACTTGTTTTAAAAGGAACAGTATTGTGTTATGTTGTCTGTTTTTCTTTTTTTGTTGTTGTCTGTTTTTCATACACTTACTGATTATGATTCTTTTTTTAAAAAATTTTTATTATTTTGTGTGTGTGTACCATCAAATCAGATCTGACTGGTACAGGAGGAGATTTTTCTTCCTCCAGCAGAGCATCTGGTAGATTCGAACCACGTACTTCTAGGATTGCAGTGCAGCTTCTTGCCACTAGGCCACCAGAGCTCGCCTGAGTATGATTCTTATGTTACCTCTTATTTCCTCCTTGTTTGTTTACTAAAAACAGAATCACATGCACTAGTATGCAGATGGGCATACTTTTTGCTATACAAGATGTATAGCTAATCTTTCCTGGTTAACTTGAGTTTCATTACCACTACAGTTTCCTAGAAATTGTGTAATTACTTGGTTTACTGTTTCAGGATTAGGGTTATGGTCTCAGGTTTCAACAGTTATGCATTCAGATAAACACCTGTTCTTCACTTACCAGTTCTCTCATCATCAGACTTTTACAACCATAGTAAAAGCCTCATGTCTATTTTGTGCATTAATGATGTTTATCTGGCAGTTAGAAATGCCAGGGTAACCTTGGCTTCGATGGTTAAGGTAATGTGTCAGTTTGGTTATGATTCACAGTGGTTTGACAGTTAATGTAAGATAATTGTTTGACAACAGTTTTGTAATATAATTATCTTCCATTTTGTAATGTGATCTGATTATTTTTCACACAAAGCCAATTTTCTAATACTGGCATTGGCCTTTGGAACCTAAACATGATGATAAATGAGAAGCGGGGCTAATACGATTGGTACCAAACCCAAGAGATTTGGTTTTACAATCTCTGACAAAGTTGGTTAGTGTCCATAGAGTCAAAATGTATTAAGACTGTGCTCCGGAATAGAAAAAATAACAAAATTCTCTTATTTAAATAGCCTTTTAAACTTCCTTTTCTTTTTTAAATTGGGGTTATAAAAGCATCTTTGCCTTCATATGGCAAATTGTGCTATGGTGCTAAAGCCTATTAAAGAAAACAATATTCTCTTTTATAATTTAAATTTAGTAAAGTGGCGTAAAACTGTTTCCTTGAAGTAAGTTTTGTTGGTGTGTTCCACGTATGTACTTTTCTAAGCTAATCACATTTAAAGTTTAATTTATATGAGACTATTCAGAAATATTTACTATATGAAATAAGCCTTGTTGTTGTTATGTGCTGTCGAGTCACTTGTGACTCATAGTGACCCTATGTACAACAGCCCTAAACTCTGCTCTGTCCTGTGCCAGTCGCACTGTCTCTGACACTCCCATCCCAATTATCCCAGTCACTGACTCAATCCACCTCATAGAGGGTCTTCCCCTCCTGCACTGTCCCTCCACCCTCCCAAGCATGATGTCCTTCTCTAAGGACCGGTCTCTCCTCACAACATGTCCAAAGTATGTTAGACGGAGCCTTAGAATCCTTGCCTCCAAGGAGCAGCCCGGTTTAACCCTTTCCAGGATGAATCTGTTTGTTTTCCTAGCAGTCCATGGTATTCTCAATACTCTTCTCCAGCACCACAGCTCAAAGGCATCACTTCTCCTTCTATCCTCCTTGGTCATTGTCCAACTCTCTGGTGCATTACAGGTGATTGCGAAGACCATGGCCTGTATCAAATGCACCTTAGTCTCCAGAGAGACACCGTTGCTCTTCAGTACTTTGGAGAGGTCCCTAACAGCAGACTTTCCCATGGCAATGCGCCTTTTAATTTCCTGGCTGCTGGTGCCAAGAGTGTTGACTGTGGAGCCAAGCAAACTAAAGCTGTGTACAATCTCAATCTCTTCACCATCCATCCTGATGCTGCCAATTGGTCCAGTGGTGAGAATCTTTGTCTTCTTGACATTGAGCCTCAATCCATATTGGAGCCTGCAGTACTTGACCCTCTGCAGCATGTGCTTCAGGTCCCCTTCAGTTTCAGCAAGCAGGGTTGTGTCATCTGCATACCCAAGACTTAGTTCCTGATCTGTGAGTAAAACAATTCTGTGCTGGTCAATTCTCAGAATAAAATTTCTTACAAAATCTACCAAATAAGATCTGAATGGATTCTACCTACCCCCACCCCTCAGCACATTAAAAAATGGCATTTTCTTCTCTTGTAGTGTGACTGGGAAAATGGAGGAGTATGAGAAGTTCTGTGAGGAAAGTCTCACCAGATTCCAAGCAGCATCTCTCTCTAAGGAGAGTTTCCTACCTCCGCCGTCGGAAGGCGTCTCACTGATTCGCTTCCATGGAGTGGCTGTTCTTTCTCCACTGGTAAGTGGTGTTCCTTGTTTTTAAAAACCTGTTTCCCTTTGGTGAACTAATAAATTACTTCAGCTTTTCTACAATAAGTTGGTTTTCAGCCAGCCTAACACACATTTTTAAAAATTTTGGCATTCAGGTCAAGACTTTGGAGTCCTGGGTAAATGAGATGTATGAATAAGGAATTTAGTTTTTGGAAAATTAATGTTGAACTCACTGTTTGAAAAATGCCAACTCAAAGGCCTTTTTCTTTTTCTGTTCCTAAGTGACATTGGGTATCTTAGCTTAAAGTCTAAAGATGTCTAGTCTAAACAGCAGAGCCCAAAGTCTGAGGGCAGGCTCAGGTTCCACCCTGAGTCTACCTACTAATGTACTACTCACTCCTTGCTTATCCTTACTTGCTTAGGCACTGAGCATCTCGCAGCCTTGTTCTCTTAAGCTCTAAATATAACTGTAACTGTGCTGAATTTTAGAAGGGGTGAAGCTTTATCTAATGGAAGCTGCTTTTCGTGGTTCTAACCTACAGAGAGTATAGCAGAGATGCTTAAAACCCCTGGTAAAGTCTTGAATATAGACTTATTAGAATTTTAGACTTTTAAGAAGAGCAAGTTGTAAAATTTAGCAATTATTATTATCTTTTTTTGTTTGTTTTTTTTTTACGTACTGTTGAATCGAATTCAGGAAGATTCGATTCAACATCTCTTCGTGGCACAGGAGAGATTGCCTCTCGTTTTCCAGCACAGCATCTGGTGGATTCATGTTATTATCTTTTAAATGAATAAAATGACCTTAAAATATGTTCCATAACAAACTGGAAAAAATGCCAGTACGTATATGATGTATAAAGAGAGCTGGTTTCTTTAATATTTCTATAATATTTCTTTAATTTTTTTAAATAAAGCTCTGAACAAGTCAAGAAAAAACTTAATAAAAAAGTAGGCAAAGAACAAAAGTAGTACACAGAAAACCAGAATAAAGAAAGGCTTGTAAACATTTGAAAAGATGCCCAACCTTTACTCATAATAATGAGAAATACAGACAAAAAATGAGTTGCATTTTTCGTTCAGTAGGTTGAGAAGAGCTAATATTGTTCCTTGGGCTGGGGTGTGTGGGTGTGTACTTCTCTTGAGATAGTAAGTTGATACTCTTTGTTTTCCTGTTTTAAGTGGTTGTGATTTGAGCCACACACATTTTGTTTCATAGCATTAGTTACAATGTGCACACTGTACTCATACTTTTTTCTACTTCCCACTAACCGTATAGGGTCAGAAGAGCAGCATTTGGCTAGAGATAAAGCCCTGAAGTCAGGAAAGGGTTTCATAGAAGGATTAGTGGAAATGAAAATTACAGGGAGGAGGTGGGAAAGCTAAATGCTAATTTTTGATAATGCACTTTAGTAACTTTTCAGAATTTACAGGTACATAATCTTTGACTCAGCAGTTTCCTTTTTGGAGATTATATATAACAAAAAGCTCATATAAATATATACAAGTTTGTAACTGTATTATTTGCAATTACAGAAGATTTATTAACAATTCAAATGTATGTTAATAGTGGACTTGCTTAACTCTGTGTTTTACAGACTCTCATCCTTGACATTCCAATGAGTAGGGCTGTTCTTAGTGTGCTGAACAATCTCAGATGTGACCATCTCTGTGTAGGTAGGGCATGTGCTCAGTGGCAGGCAGAGAAATGGGTAAAAGCTAGATTCTTAAACAGGAGAGCTCTGGTGGCCTAGTGGTAAGGAGCCTTGCTGTTGGCCAAATGCTGTTGTTGTTGTTATGTGCCGTCGAGTCGTTTGCGACTCA